AGCTGGACAACTTATGCAAATTGATTTCCATTGTTCTTTTCCAACAATCCTGTGGATTCAATTTTTGGAACCTTCCGATCAAAAAAGCCTCATCCTCTAGAAAGTTCTTGGACACCAATTGAAAAAGTTCTAAAATCTTTTCAATATAAAAGAAATGAACAAATTTCAATTGAAAGAAATCAGTTTCTAGTTGTTCCGGCAGAATGCCTAGAGCTTCAATATATGTCGCTTGCAGTCGAGAAGAAGGTCTATTCATCATAGGAAATTTTATTCCTCCTAGTAAATTTTCTAAATCAGACCTGTATTTAGGGAACTGAGGGAATTGAACACAAATAAAGCTCTGACAACAAGTTACAGTTTTATGATTTCCCGAACATCAGGACATCAAATTTTACTCCATAATGTTCAGAGTCTTCACGCTCACATTAATGATATAAGAAGCGACTGTTTGATGCTATCTTCAGATATTTTAGCTTTCTCTGTCAGACATTTAATTGTAGAACTTCAGGAAGTCCTTACTTCTGAGTTATGCAATCAAAATGTGCTAATTGTTGGAGATTTTAACATTTGTTTAATGTCTACAGGGACTACAATAGGAAATCTGCTCCAAGAAAAAAACTTTAGTTCCCTGCTTGGTGTAGAATATTCATCTACACCTGCCGGTACACAAATTGATTGGGCATTTTCAAACATGGATCCATCCCATGTTAATGCAATTACTTTTGAGACAGTACAAAGCTATCATGACAGTATTTGTGTCTCTTTTTCGAACTAAAGTTTTCAGACTTAGTTCAATAGTTCTTCATTTTTGGTTTTTTCAAATATCGAATTAGACTGCTATAGGAATTTTGATAGTAGTTTTTAAGACAATTTTAAGAAAAATATGTAAATATTCTAATATAGAAAATTTTAATTATATGTATAATTTCTTATTATATAAGACATTATTGTATAAATATATATATTTCCATTAAAATATTCCATTTTCGACAATTATTTGACGTAATATGCCAAGTTTTCAGATAACTTTTTATAGAAAGTTTTATTTTGATGTCTTCATTGGTACTTTCTTAACATACATACTGTAAAGAAAGGAGCATATGGAATTTAAAATTGTGATGTGGGAAGTAGGCGATTTTGCCAATTTTCACAGGGTAACATACGAATGTCGAGATAATGTTGTGCACCTAATTTGGTGTAAATTGGTAGTACATTATACCTACTAGAGGCGAGACCACGACCACTCTTTATAAATGTTTCAAACCACAAATTCCCTTCTTTAATGCGCTGCGTTGTACCAAATTAAATTTTTCTATCCTATTATGGAGCTTAGCTATGGCACTTTACAGGTTTTCGAATTCCGAACAAAACTTAGTACTTAGAATGCCTCAGGTGGCACTGTAATCTGTGGTAGTTTGATCTTTCTGTTTATATAATATATCACAATTTTGATAGTTTTGGTACAATTTTAAAGGATAGATCAATAAATATACTTAGCGATATTTGATCTGAATGCAAATTGTTATTGGCATTGAGAATATACCCCGCTAATACTGGTTTGCAAAAAAAAGGAAATCATCCTTACTGTTTTCATGCATGAGTTCCTGATATTCAGCTCTCTAAGTTCTAAGCAATAAATTTAACATGCAATAAGTACATTATGTAGTGTAGTATTTCAAGTCCATTTAATCAAATAAAGATGTTATTAAAGTAACGAAAACAAAAAAAATAAAAAATAAACATTACGATCCAAGTTTAACAGTGAAAAATAATAGTTTTATAATCACAAGTTCTAAAAATATCAGTAAAATATCTCGAGATTCTAGTAACTTCATAATTTTTTTGTTTTCATTAATTCCATTAAAATTTCTGGGCGAATCGACCAACAAAAGTCGGAAAGCTTTGCTACAAAACATTTGCCAGATTTTCTGGAAAGAAATTAACGCGCGAGTTCAAAAAATTTGTTTTAAGTGACATATTGTATTCTAAAGTGTTATAAGCAGAAAGAAGCTCTGGAATGATTTGTCGGTATGTTTCAGCTTTTGTGTTCCCGCGAAAATCATGACATACATTTTCAAAAACTACACAAGCTCTCTTTTCTGCTTTGTTCAACTTTAATTAAAAGCTTCATCCGTCATAAGCTCACATATCTGCGGTTCTACAAAAATTCCTTTCTTCAATTTTGGTTTTGAGACACATTTTTCAGTCCAAGTCGACCTTTTTCTTAGTGGCAAAGTTTTCTCTGTACCCTCCACGTAATACAATAAGTATAGCAACGGCTTTTAAATCAGCACAAATATTCCATTGGTATTGAGCATTTTTTTTTCAAGAATATTTTCTATAATTTTCTTCACGTATTTTGCATGTGCAAGGGAAACTAATAGGTATTTACTAGTATTATGTAGGCATCAATGAAAAGTCTCTATTAATCAGAATTTGAACTGAAAAGCTCAGCTCTTTAAGAAGCCCTGCATGATCATTTCAATATTCCAAATTATCTTCTTTGGTGAAGTAACTATTAATACATTCTTACTAATATTACTGTTTTCATCTTGATCCGAGCAATTGTGCACTAGATTTTGAAAGCCCCAATGCGTAAGTACAAATGCAGACCATTATTTTTCACCTCATCATTTTAGGTGGACTTGAAGTAAAGTGGAATGGTCACAAATGATTGGTCGTTTTCCAAATGTGATGATCGGATATATAATATAATTTAACTTTTTAGAATTCTCGTGTTGATGTAATGCAGAAATAACAATATTATGTTATTCATGAATCTGATTTTTACTTCAATACATTGGCATTGTAAAAGGCATAAATTTGTGACTTCCTTCAAACCAACCTCCTTATGTTCTTAAACAATTATTACAGCTTGGTTTTGGCAGCAAACTTGTATCTCTTTCCTCGATAGAAAATCCAAAATAAAGCTGAAAAGCTGTTTGAATAAGATCTGTTTTGGCATTTTAGTGTATTTTTAGAGTAAACTCGCTGAAAATGAAACAAAAACAATGTATTAAATTTATACAGGCTCAGGACTTTGTATAACCTTAAATTAAATATCATTTCTTTTAATACGATTTTTAAGAAAATTTCCATCTTTCTCCTCAAACTTTCCCAAACTTATTTTACATGAGGATAAGTCGTCTGTAATAAAGGCATTCTAAGATACTTAGTAAGTTCCCGTTTCTACCCATTACCACGGACTTTCGAAATCCCATAGAATTAAACTTTAATTCTGTCCTCAATATTGCCTTCATTTCTAGAGAAGAATGGGAAAGAGGTGAGGTAAACAGGAATACAGGGATCGAGATTCGCCTTCTGACTACCAGACCACTGCCGTGTCTTCCAAACGGAGATCACAGCAATTAAAAAAAAAACTTCTTGTTCTGACATAGAGTATGCTCACAAGAAGAAATATATTTATATATAGAGATAGCCAAGCGCTTTGAAATTACTAAAGTCTCTTAGGGTTTCATCAAAGATAGTGAAAGAATGTCTTGATATTTTGGTGGATCTATAATCCTATTTTATGAAAAACCTGAAATGGGTTCCAGAACATAGTAATATTCCTGGTAACTGTGAAGCAGATGAAATAGCTAGAGCTGGCACCACCCTAGAATTAGACTCCAGGAAAGCATTTATATATCTCTGGCTAATGGTAGATATTTAATCGATAAAAATGTTATAGATATAGCTGAGTCTCGGTGGGGTCAATCCCTTGTCAATCCGCACATGTCGACTCTTAAAATTCAAAACGAATGACATAAGAACTCTAGTAGGACTGCTAACAGGTCACTGTCTAATTGTCAGACATGCCAGCAGACTGAGAACATCCGACAATGACTATTGTAGAAGCTGTCAGGAGGTAGAAGATGAAGAGATTATAGAACATCTTCTATGCGAATGCAAGACTTTGAATAGGAAAAGAATCCCAACTATTGGCCGAGGAATTCTAGACGATGTCTCGGAGGTTGCACAAATAAAGCTTTTTGTATTGATGAACTTCATCAGGAGCACGGGGTAGTTCAGAGAGGACATAATGGAGTGAGGGGATCTTAGTCCCTCCTAGGTGCATCTTCGGACATCCACTCTACCTAACTACCTACCTACCTACTTCCAGAGATAAGCAAATGTTTGTGTTTTTTTCCTTACTTCTTTTTCAAATATCTATAATTGCTATTTTCATTTTAGTTGACAATCAAACTTAATCAGAACCTGAATACGACATCACCCTGGTATAATATCGGAAGTTTTCCTTTAATGCACTCTTAATTATACCTTTACTTCTATTTATTCATTCATACATATGTATGTATATCGGTACAGCAAATATACATACATATGTACATATTTGATGCGCCATGCAGATTTAGTAAATATTTTCTAAAATAAAGTCAAACCATAATTCTGATACCAGAATTGATTTTTTTATTCAATAATATCTTCTTTTAGTCATCGCAAATGGCAGTTTACTTTATCTCATCCCCAGGGATTGATATGGAGCTTAAGATGTATACACTAAACCAAATGTGACCACATAACATAGAGTGTGTGAATACTACAATATTCAAGCCATTTAAAAGGGATGAAGGTAAGTGCAAGGTATAGAAACCATGGATTATCGGAATGTGTAGAGTAAATATACATATATATACTTGTATATATATATCATATACATATGTACATCTATAATGTGCATATGGGGAACACTGAATACGTGAAGCTAGTTTTTCATCCCTTTTTATTGAGATTGGTTTATCAATCATTTGCGAGTATATGCAGAATAACCAACTAAGTTTTTTTTATTTCGTTAGTTAGTTCGAAATTCTTGCTATGAATGATTTATAAAAATGCAAATATATGTATATGTACATACGTTGCAAAAGATTCTCTTGGCCTGATGAATATTTAAACGCCTGAATAAAAAATAGTTTAAAAAATGTTTAGCATAATATACATACAAAAACAATGAGTTCATAGTACAGCATCAAACTAACCTGTAAATGAGTTTTCGTCGAACACTTCGCTTGAAAAATCCCGAGCAACCATTGCAAGCTAAAATTCCATAATGTTTCCCAGAGCTGGTATCTCCACAGACAACACAAATTAAACCTAAGTTTTGACTTTTTGAACGCGCAGCAGTTATAGATCCGGTTTGCTCAACATTTGCCACTGAATTCACTACTGAATGCTGACTCCAAGGGACCAATCGATTCTGTGGTGAATAGCAAACCCGGTTTGTGTGCGAGTTAAGTATTTCTGCAATAAATAAATACACTTGCTAAGTTGGTTTCAATTAAATTTCTTTTCATTGAATTGCAAATGTTCAAATGCATGTCAGACTCTTCTCTAATCCGTCCCACAACTGATGTATTCTTTGTTGACTTTGCGTGCAGCATGTCTTTGAATATTTACATCCACTATTTGGTTCCATTCTACTTGTCCATGAGTGAAGTGTAGATGTCGACCCTATGAGTAATTTACAAATTTATTTACACATTCAATTAGGGTGCCATTAAAGCTTCGCGTCAATCTGTGCACAAATTTTTCTCTGGGGACAATTGTTTCGCCATCACACCCTAATTTGATTGTAGTGATTTTTTGATGCACTTAACCCCTGAAAGGAGCAGTTCTGAAGCATCGGCGGTCTCATTTGTTACGGACGACTGGTAATTGTATCAAATATATTCAACCATATAAGCAGCAAGTGTTAGCCACAGTCGTTGGGATTAACGTCATATGCTTGAATTTTGTGCTGTTAATATTATAAAGATGATGCCGTTATGAGACTAGCACTGTATCGCCCAATGAAAGTTTTAAAGTTTTTAAAACCCAACATTAATGCAAACATCTCATTTCAGAACATTCATATACATGTATATATGTAGGATATGTTTGTATGAATGTACGGCACTTAAGTGTATTCAGAGTATATATATATTCGTACTTATGTATACTATAGTCCCACACTGATGCATTTATAAACGGTTTTCCAATAAGAGTAATATGATTTAAAACAAAAAATACACTAATTCTTAAGAAAACTCAAATGTTTTTTATTTAATGTGAAGTACAATCGATACAATTACGTTCTGAATATAACATCATATAAATGGCCAACCCAATTTTCCAATGCTATTTCCACTAAATCAAGTCGTATGCCATGAATTTCAAGTTAAATATAGATTTCTAAAGCTTTAAGAGAGGCTGGTTTATTGCTAAAGACCAATGACTTCAAATAACCCCAAAGAAGTAGTCTAATGGTGTTAAATCATAATTTTTTGGAGTCCATTCAATGTCACATGAATTATTCTTGAAATTATCGAATTTCAAAACTTTGCTCGCAATAATTTGGTTATTGCATGTGCTGTGTGTCTTGTTGGAACCAGATGTTGCCAAGATCACTTCGAGCGGTTATTTTGTCCTATTAGCACTTGACCATTATGTAAAGAAAATGTGAGCTCGAAATTTTCAACAATTCGACGAATAGCGAGCACAAGTGAACGATTATTACGACCATAAAATAGCAAAAGCGCACGAAAAGTTTTTTGATAATAAAATTATTATTTATTTTAATAATAAAATTGAATAATTTGTGAACGTTATTCTTGTGTATATCTTTCCATGATGAAATTGTAAACATTACTTAAACAATGAAAAAAAATTACAGATCATGACATATTAAAAATAGCCAAAACGACACTTAGAAATCCTATCATCCCTATTGGAAAACCCAATATATGCACATAAGAAATTACTGGGAATTGCTGGTTATATAACTTGTTATACTTATGTATTTTTAATCATTTGGTTTGATTTAACTCCACGACTACCGTATAGAAGGAATTGTAGAAGTTATCACCATAGCAATCTCAAAATGTTTGTATACATTTTGTTTATTGTTCTTAGATTGGTTGTACAAAATAGTTAACTTTTGTAAAGCATTGTGGAATTAGTTATCAATGACTAATTATACCAAAATTTAAGGAAAGGAATATACATTTTTTTAACACTGTAGGGATGAATTTTTTTTTAATTTTTAAACACAATTATGTGTTTTGATTAAACAATTCAACTTCTGTTTAGAAGTATTGCATTAGAAGCATTATTTGTTCGAATTCATTAATTTATTTTTTTACACCTACTCAAATGTTTTAAACATTCTCTGGGTGCAGTTCACGCTCCACTCAAAACTACTTAGATCAGCTATCCCCAACGTCAACGTTACAATTTTGTGTATGATTTGGGTACGCTGTGCGCATACTTCCGTGAAACGACATGTATTTTATAATTTTAATGAGGAAAGAGTTTGGAATTTTTTTTATGTACATATGAATATACTTCGAACGCTAAAATAGAAATCGCTTTTCAGTACTGTGTGGTTTTCGTAATTTTAATTTAAAACATAATAAACACAAAAAAAAAAACGATAACTTCAGCTGCACCGAAGTTATAATACACTTCACAAGTGCATTTATTATAGCACAAAATAGTATAATAAATATAATTTAAACAAGTAAGGAAGTGCCAAGTTCGGGTGTAACCGAACATTTTATACTCTCGCAAAATAAAGTGATGTACCGGATTTTCGTGTATTTTAAATTAAAAGTAGGCAGTATTGCATCCATTGTTTACAACTACATGCAAAAATTACTGTTAGTAGAAAGAGATTTTCAGAATTTCAATAGGATTTCTTTCATAATGTCTCATAGATAGTAATTTAAAAGTTTGTTATACGGGAAGTAGACGTGGTTGTCAACCGATTTCGCCCATATCCATAGTGTACAATACTAATAATTATATTACCTCACCCACCAAAATTGGTTGAAATTGGTCAAGTAGAGAGAGATATAGAATTTCACCATTTGTACAACTTTTACACCGACTCCCATAAAGCCCTTTCCTGCCATTCCGGTTGTCAAATTTAATGCTTGTAGCTCTTTTATTCAGTGAGTAATCGCACTTTTAGTAATTTTCAACATAACCGTTATATGGGGAGTGGGCGTGGTTATTATTTGAATGTATGAAGAAATGATGAAAATACTTCTTCCCACTAAATTTGTTAGAGTTAGATTCAGTAGTTTGGAAGATATGTACATTTAACTATTTAGAGGGCGGGGCCATGAGCAAATGTACAAAATCACAGTATTGTATCTTAACTTAGTGCTTAGTTATGACATTTTATAGATTTTTGTTTTGTTATTTTTTGGGCATGGCAGTGGTCCGATTACGCCTACCAGCAATATCAACCCTCCGTGGGTGCCAAGAATGATATGTACCAAGCTTCATCAAGATATATTAAATTTTACTCAAGTTATCGCTTGCACGAACAGACGGACGGAAAGTCAACCGGATTTCAACCCGTCTCGTCACCCTGATCAATTATATATATATAACCCTATATAAATCGATTATTTTAAGGTTATAGAAACACCCGTTAGGTGAACAAAACTATAATAATCTGTGCAACATGTTGCGAAAGAATACAACATTCATTATTCGAAAAAATCCTGAATAAACTACGATCAAATTTGGTATCTTCTGGACTTATATTGAGGCTATTAACTTAGACTTACTTTCATTGCTATATTTTATGGTAGTTCGTTAGTAAAAGTTATATTAAAAACATCTTCAACTGAGCTATATGTATGTGATATCAACTCGACCGAAGAGGTTAAAGTTAAAATTTTGAGTTGATGTGCAGAACGTCGACCAGAGGATCGGAATTCATTGTACAAGTATTAGGCATATGCGCTTTCGACCAATTCAATTCTAACTCAGCGCCAAGCCCCGCAATTTTTAAGAAAACTTGTCCATTTAGTTTTTTTATACTCTCGCAACCTGTTGCTACAGAGTATAATAGTTTTGTTCACCTAACGGTTGTTTGTATCACCTAAAACTAATCGAGTTAGATATAGGGTTATATATATATAAATGATTAGGATGAAGAGACGAGTTGAAATCCGGGTGACTGTCTGTCCGTCTGTCCGCCCGTGCAAGCTCTAACTTGAGTAAAAATTGAGATTTCTTTATGAAACTTGGTATACATGTTTGTTGGTATCGTGAGACGTGGTATTGCAGATGGGCGTAATCGGGCCACTGCCACGCGCACAAAACGCCAATAATCAAAAACAAATAAATTGCCATAACTAAGCTCCGCCTTAAAATACAAGACTGTTATTTGGTACACAGGACAACATTAGGGAGGGGCGCCCACTTTTAGGTGAAAACCCATATCTTGGAATCTGCTTAACCGATTTCAACCAAATTTGGTGCATAACGTTCTTTTCGTATTTCTATGTCATAGTGCGAAAATGGGCGAAATCGGATTACAACCACGCCTATTTCCCATATACCACCATTTTCAATTCCATCTGATTCTTTCACTTTCCAGTATGCTTATCAAGCAACAATGATTATATCGAGGTAAAACTTTGCGTGAATAATATGTTTAAAGTATGCCACCTTGTGACCAAAAATTGTCTAAATCGAATCAAAACTGTTCAAGCCCCTAAGTACTAAATATGTGGACTCCAGTGCCTATAGTTGCCCTTCTACCGAAAATATCAGTCAATCCACAAAGAAATCTCAAACGAGTATACCATTTGACTTTGCGAGAGTATAAAATGTTCGGTTATATCCGAACTTAGCACTTTCTTACTTGTTAATATATCACATTTTGACCAACCTGAACGGTTTAAAGTGGTGGAAAGACGGAAATCATTATAAGGATTATATTGGAGACAGAGAAAAGGACGGGCTAATTGCATTAATTTGGACATTTCTCTGGTATACTTGAGAACATTTTTTCAAGCTATTTTTAAAATATATAACTCAGAACGACAAATTTGACAATAAACTTGTTAGAAAAACGAAATCCATTACATACATCATATATGGAATAAAGTCAGCCGGATGTTCGAAAATTCCGATATTAGTTATATAGGGGGCTGAGCATGTTTTCACCCGATTTTATTAATTTCAGGCACAAAGATGCACTGTTTTTAGTAAATTTTTATTGAGATAACTCACATATTGGCTGATATATGCGGCATAAAGGAAGTTTGAAAATCTTAATATTAGGTATACATATGAGGGCTAAGGGAAGTATTGAACCGTTTCAACCAATTTTTGACATTCAAACGTACCATTATCAAGAAAGGATTTGACACAAATTTCACTTTACTTACGTATTGACTGATATTTTCGATAAAAAGTCAACTATAGGCACAAAGGTACACATAATCGATACATATGGG